AAAATGATAAAGATTTGTTAGCACTCTCGGAAAAACTCCAGCTCCAAAGATTTTCATTTTATGCAGATTCTGTGTGTCCGTCCGTCCCGTCCCGTCCCGCCCCCCCCCCAAAGTGTGACATCAGCAGAGGGGTTTCTGAGGTAGGAGATGGTGGCTGCGGGACCCTGTGTCAGCCCTGGGCTTTTATATGTGTATATAAAACCAAAAAGTTTAATAGAGTTGAACCTCTACAGTGGGTAACTGTGAAGGACATCAAAGTTAAATCTTCCTTAGGCAATTTTTTGCAGCTTACACTTACATTTAAATTCAGATTTAAATGAGTCAGGAAAGGACTGTGAAGCTAAATTTACTCCGGTGTCATGAAGAACTGCAAACTTGCATGCAAAATACTTCTGTTTTATTTAAAGCTGGGGCTTTCAGTCAGGACTTGAAAAGCCTGGCTTCTGCTCCCATTGGCTTCCCTGGGATTTGGATCCAGCCCAAAGTACTGCAGGAAGGTAGGGGAAATGATCTAGGTTTAATTCTCTGTTCCGTTCAGAGTCTTGTGTTGTGGGGTTAGCATAACACAGCACTGTGATGAATGTTCATCTGTCAGGAGTTCAAAATCTGCTGTCTATGGGTGGCAGTAATTAAATCACCTTAATTGTTTTTCATGATTCTTTTTAAGAGGGAAAATTACTTGCCTTGGATTAGCATATTGCCAAAGACTGGTATAAATATTTATGTGGGCACTCTTGCAATAAAAAGCCTGTACATTCTTCACAGGTCTCCATAGTTCTCGTACCCTGAACACAGAAGAATAATCATTTGAATGCACTACTTACCATCACTTCCCCCCCCTCGTAAAGCTTCAGTAGATACTGGGCTTAACAGTAAAAAAGGTAAGTAGTTTAGAAGGAAGCATCTCCTGCAACCCATTGATGATATTTAATTTCCTGTGTAAGCTGCAGAATCCTTTGAAGGTGCATATGTTTGTGAAACAGGTTTGGGAGTTCCAAACTTTTTCCTCTTGCAGTTGTAGAAAATACACAGCGTTGGAAGAATTACTGGCTTCTCTCTCTCTTTTTTTTCCTGCTTCCACATTAAGGGCTCATGCAGTATTCTGATATTCTAAAATACTGCAAAAAGAAAGAAGGTAAACTCTCAGTAAAAGAGCTACGCACCTTCCTTCTTTTTTTATAAAGGTCATCAAGCAAAACATTCCTAAGAGTATGAAATTCAATTATGCCTGTGTTAAGAACCGTGGAACAAAGCGATCGGTATACTCCTGACTTGAATAATGGCAGGATTTCACTGTAGATCATTATGGAAAACTCAGGAAAACAGTCAGTGCACAGCTCTTTCATGATTCTGTTTACGTGTACGTATGGTACTTGCTGGATATCTGGAGAGATGCATTTATGTTGCATTGCAGAAAGTGAGTTGAGGGGCTTGTCCTTCTCCACAAAATTCTTCTTCTACCTGCTGATGTTAGAGGGTAAAAGTAATGATTTTAATGCCTGGAAACTTGGTGAAGTTTTATATAGAAATCCCTTTCTAGAAACGTGAGTCCCAAGTTAAAATCCCTCTTGGCCTATTTTAACATTGTATGTAAGTGTTCACATGCTACTCTCTGGGGTTGCTTTCCTCCAGGACAGCTGTACCTCTGATAGATCTGGGCATTTTGAAACTGAGCTTGCAATTGCAGTAAAATCTCCTGAGAAGCTGCAACACACGACAGAAATGCCTGTCCTTTAAACAGTTACTGACATTAAACAAATTGTTCTTTTTTGTTCTTTCAGAGCGCCGTTTCCAAGTTTATACTGTAAAAGTCATGACAAACGTCATTATACGTAAACATTCAAATTTTGGTGCATACTGCTGAGGTTAATAGTTTGCTGAAGTGTTGAGATCAGGAACAGGCAAACATTTTTAATATAATACAAAAGCAAGCTTGTTTTGCTAAGACATTGCATCTTTAGTAAAGATATTTATTAAGCTCCCTTCTATTCTAAGGAAAAAGGATATACTCTTTATAATAGTGGACATTGTCCATAAGTCATGGGACCCTTCCTTTGTGTTTTAACTATTCCTGTTGTTTACACTGCTTTGACAAAATCCAACAAAGCTCCTGACAGTGTGCCAAGAGAGAGATTTAATGAGTATTGCAACGTAAACGGAACTGGTGAAGCACAGAAGGTGCAGCCGTAAGAGCACAGCAGCTCCGAGGCTGGACCACGCTGCCAGCTCTCCGGTACGCTGTCACCATCAGGGACGATGAGCAGATGCCTAGCCAAGAGTCAGAACAGGGCAAGTGGACACAGGTATAATACTAAAGTCATCCCAGCCTACAAATATTGTATCTGCGCTGGACTTCCTAATCCAGATATGGTTTCTCAGCATTTTCTGTGTAGGATCTCAATGATGAAGCATTTCATAAGCTACGTTTTTACACAAACCGGGTATGTTATGACAAAATTACTTGAAATGGACATTAGGAAAGGAAAAGAAAAATATTTCTAGGTATTTTACAGCCACGTACAACTGATAGGCACATAACTAACACTAATGGAGGGTGAACTTACATGTGTGTTAGTGAGAAAAGGAATCTGAAACAGAGGGAACAGACATCTAAAATGCAGTGATTGTGTGGGGTTTGAGTAGTAAATGCTAATACCTTTGCTAGCTTTGCACTTTTTTTAACAAGTTAGATAGTATTACACAGGCTTTTGGTCCTTAGAAGCAGTTTTCTTAACGTTACTTCTAATAAGTAATGTATAAATACTTTATGGTAAGCTGATGGTTAATTTGCAATTAAGAACTAATTTTTCCTTGACTGAGAAAGTGAGCTGTCTTAACCTCCGCACTACAGACTGGGGAGAGAGGGAGATTATAGACCCTGGATTGTATTTATATTTTTCTTGATGGATCCTCTCTGTAGAATATATCCTGAAGGTTACTAGTGCTCCTTTGCAGGCATAAATGGCTAAGGTATAGATAATCCGAGTTGCAACCTCGAGACAGAAAGTAGGAGCAGATGGCATGAATTCGGAGAGCAGTGGTATTGTATCTACCACCAAAACTTAACAACAGAATTTTCAGGCATTAATGGAGAAGAAATCTCCTTCATACTTTTAAGGGAATTAATAAAAAATTTCACATTCCCGTGACTGCACGCCTATAAGACAGCATGTACCATCTACATCTGTATTCGTGGTGGAAACTAAACAATAAGGAACTTCACTAGAAAGGTATTGGTATTTTGGAAGAAATGATTATGTATTTAAAGGATCTCTATTTGAAAACAAGCTCTTTTTTCTGTTTGTAAACATGGTGAAAACTTAGATTTAAATAGTAAAAATGTTACTGATGGAGTTGTCCCTCTTTATAAATTAGGGCCACACTATTTATGAGGATGTTTATTTTGTTTCCTAGTATGCATTCTCAGATCCTGAAATGGTATGCAGTGCTTGTTCCAGTAATTAAGCTCTTTTAAACAAAAATTTCGCATGTACTCTTTTAGGGACCAAGTTCCTTAGAGTATAAAACTGGCAGCCCTTCCAAGCCTGTGTCCTCTAAAAGTGTAAGATGTTATTACATTTCTTTGAGTTCACTGGAAGCTTAAATGGTAATCAAACCTTTCTTCCCCTACACTTTCGCCATTAACTTAAGTGCACTTAATTAACCAGTTGTGAATGTGGAGATATAAAATACAAGATCTAATGTATTTAATTATTCTAGTGTATTAGAATAATTAAATTCAATTTTAATAAAATGTTCACTAAAAGCAATTTACATTGCAATACTTACCTAATATGAGGAGAATTATTACTGTATTTGCCTTTTATTTGAAAGTGAGAATGGAGGCTACGTTTGTAGTCTTGGATAGTCACAGTACCTTATTCTGTACATGATATTGTTAATGGAATGCATTACTATACATTTCAATCTAACTGTACAAAATCATAAAATACACTTTAAATGGTAGTGAGGAATGAGAGTTTGTTCTAAATTAGACACTTTGTCTATCCTCTGCTTTAATAATGTTATCACAGAGCACAAACAACGCAAAACAACAGAAGTTCTAAACAAAGATGAATTTTGGGAGGCAATAAAAATAAGGGGAGGTTTTTAAAGGCCACAGTGTCATGGAACTAGTTTTGAGTTTCTGTTTCTCTTCTTAAAAAAACAACCCCACAACAGTCCCCTGAAAAAAAAGGAAGCTTTTTTCTGTATGCCATTAAAAAAGCTTTGCACTGCTTAATTTTTCTGCAAATTTCTAACAGAAAACAAATTCAAGCACAGGAATGACTTGAACAGAACCTGATCAAAATTTTTGCTTGCCTTTTTTTAACATTGTCTTAAAAGTGTTGATTATTCTACAGATTTAATAAAAAGCAATAAAATGCTAAACTGAGTGTTCCACTTTTGCTAGGCAAAGCTGGCTGCAAATTCATGACTTACAGCACCTGAGTTATCGTCATAGTTAGGTTCTTTTTCTCCTGCAAAATTCAGGAGCTTGGTGAAAAAGGGAGACCTTGCATGAAGTGATGTGGTGCTTTCTGCTAATAGCTGCACCTCAACAAATTTAGAAAAGGACTCGGTAGTGAAAATATATTTTAAAGCTCCCAAGCCTCGGGGATGCAAGTCTTACATTTTGCTATTCTGATCTGTTAATTGTTAAAAGTAGGACGAGACTGGTTATTAACGCTTGGAAACTAAAGAAAGAACTAGTGAAGTTTTATGTCATCTCCTGAAATGTCAAGGGATGCCCTTTAAATAAACCACACAATGCAGCTTGTGATACTTGTTAAGTATCAAGGGCCAGGAGACGAGAACTCTGTTCATCTCTGGTGTTAATATTTAAAATGAAGTATGTATTTAGTCATTTAATTAAGATGCTGTATATTTTTAAATGAAACAGGATCCATAAGAACTTAGTTTTAGGGGTTTTAAATCTAACACATCTTTCATGCTCGGTGAGAGAAAAGGTCAGCAGCAGAATCATGTATCTGGTTATGGGTAGCTTAATGAAGTTTTATTGTCAAAGTAGGGCAGGAGCTATTTCATCACATGGGACATACAAGCAAACAGATTTCAAGACTACCTTACATGCTATTATAAATCACAGCAATATATTTTAGAACATGTGAACCATTAGAAAATAGTACTTTGGTTGCCAAAAACTGAGTCTCTCAGACATTTCTTTTGCTGAACAGAAAAGCTCAGACATGTGCAGTGAGTTTACGCATCTGTATGCGGCACTGTAGGATGCTGAAGATGGTCCAGTGTTGCTTCAGGATCAGAGTCTTCTTATAGCTATGTGTTTCCTGGACTCTCAATAACCAATTTCTGCGTGGAATACAGTTGGCCAATAGTAACCTGAAATCAAACCAAAATATCAGAAAGCTGAAACTGGAAAGTAAACAGGTCATAATTTCAGCTTCGCAAGAGAGATTAAACACAAACTAACAACTGAGTAGCCCATATATTAAGCTTTTTCATAATGACATTTTTCTTCCTATAAGCATTTTTTGGTGAATAATACTGTCATCAGCCTAGACCGTAAGAAAAATAACCAATACCTAAAATACCTGCATATATAAAATCTTGAAATAATGACATTGAGGAATACTGTTCAAAGTCTCTTAATATTAAAAGTTAACATTAGAAGTTACTACAGAGGAAAAGCAAACAGGCTGTATGTTTAGAAAAATGAAAAGATGAATATAATGAAAAATAAAAAGATGGATATAGTCAGCAGATATTTCTTATTATGCTTTTTGGGTGGAGAGCCTAGATATAAATTGTATGGTATGGTATTGTTTTCCAGTTCCTTTGGAACCCTAATTTAATTTGCCCTACAAATGGTGAAAACAGTTACACAGTTAGTTAACCAGTAAGATTTTACACAGACTGGAACTGACCCCTTGTTCATGAGATGGTGTTCACACCTCATGTATTTGTGCTTTCTAGTGCAACGAGGAAATGAAAAACGATAAAAATGCAACACGATGCTTCGATTATTCTTGTTCTTTAGTACTTTCTAGTCTGCATCGTAACATTGGTAAATTGTAGTCAGATGCGCAGTGGGCGATAGTCACACGCAGCCCTTCGCTTAACAGTTGAGATGTGGAACGAAGAAGTTTCATGCAAGTAGGCTAATGTAAGCAGAAGATGACAACATTTATTTTAGAAGTATGAAATTCAGAGTCTAATTTTTATACCTGTGATGGCCTTTCTCACCCCTACTTTGTCGCCAAGGCCTGGGTACACAGTAGCTCTGTGTCCTTTTCACACACAAAAACGTTCATATATTTAATTATGGAATTAGGACAAAAAAGGCTAGATGCTTAATTACACTAAGCACAATATATTTAGTAGAATTTAATACTGCACAAACTAAGCCTCACAGCAAGTCAGGTTCTCAAAGTAGTAAAAAATTAGG